TATATATATATATATATATATATATATATATATATATATATATATATATATATATATATATATATATATATATATATATATATATAGTGATGTGCCGGGTACCCGGTTCGGACCCGGAGACCCGGTAATTCGGCAGTTTTACCGGGTACCCGGTATCGGCCATTTTGTTGTAGTACCCGGCACCGGGTATCTTCAAATTGATTTTTTCTTTAGTTAAACTTTAACCATTAAACTTCTTGATATAAGTCTAAGAGTGTTATGTAGTCGATAACCACAAAGTTCTATTAACTTAAAACAATCTCACTTAAAATATTTTTTAATTCACTTTTGCAAAAAAATTTATACGGATACAAAAACTGTATTGCTAAATGAAATAATTCGAGATTACGAATAAAAAGAATGGGAAACAAAGTTTTAGAATAGCTTCTTTTTATTCTGTTAGAACACAAGATAATTTTTAGCAATTTATTTTTGAATGAAACGCTTATAATGCTTTCGAACGCTGATAGACTTTTCATTCGTATCGAGCAAAAATCATAAAAGTAGAGATATAAGGTAAATATTTTACACATTTTTCATATTTTAATTTCGAGCGTATTATTAAAAAAATTATCGTTTCATATAAAATAAACGAAAACTTTGATATCAAAACTAGTTTCATTATCTGTATAGAAATTTTATTTGAAAGAAAAGTTATGGCAAAAAAAAAGTATAGCGTGGAAGTTCTTTGATATAAGCACGACTCCTCATATGAGTAAGTGCAAACTATGTGATAGTTTAATTACGAGAGGAGGAAAATCTTTCAAGTCTTATGGAACTACAGCAATGGTAAAACATTTGCGTTCAAAGCATTCCAAAGAGTTTAAACTTGCGGAAGAAAAAAAAAAGGTTCAATCGTTGCCGTCTATTTCTGAAGCCTCAGTTGCTTCTACCACCAATACAGTACAAAGTAGCGTTATTCAGGCTTTACAAAAAAAATAACAGTGGAATATTGATGACCACAGATCTATTCGAATCCATAAAATAATAGGAAAACTTATCACATTGGATATTCAGCCATTTTCTATTGTTGAAGATACGGGGTTTAATGAACTGATTAAAGATGCTTACCCCAATTACAAATTACCATGTAGAACATATTTCAGCCAAAACGTAATCCCTAGCATGTATGATGAACTTTTTAAAGATATAAAAATAAAAATCTCCGCGGCAAACTATTTGTCTCTGACGACAGATATTTGGACAGCGGATACTGCAAAAATCGCATTTTTAAGCATTACTGGATATTGGATAGATCTAACTAAATTTTCCCAAGAAACTGCTGTTCTTCGAGTAATTCATTTTCCGGAAAAGCACACAGGTGTTCATATAAAAGAGTATTTACAAAAAGGTTTAGAAACTTTTGAAATCCCGTTAAGCAAAATTCATCTTATTGTTACCGATAATGCAAGCAATATGAAGGCTGCAGTAAAAAACAGTGGAATGTCATCAATTCCATGCTTTATCCATACTTTGCAGCTATGTATTCATGACTCTATATTTACCCAAGAAATCATCAAGGAAATTTTAACTTTATGCAGAGGAATAACGACACATTTTAATCATTCACCAATAGCATGTGCAAAATTAAAATCAATTCAGCAGCATTAAGTACTCTACCTCACAAAATGAAACAAGATGTTCCAACTCGCTGGAACAGTTCATTTGAAATGCTACAAAGAACGTTTGAACAAAAAGTTCCTTTGGCCACCTATGCAGCAGAATATGATGAAATTAAACTTCCTACTAATTATCAATGGGGAATAGTCGAAAAACTTGTTCACATTCTTGCTCCATTTGAAAACTTAACAAAAAAATGTGGTAGGAGGGACGAAACTTGCGCACAAATTATATCATCTGTTCTTGCATTAAAAGTTTTATTACAAAAAGCTTCATCAAGTGATATATACGCTGGGATTATGACGATGATTGATGAACTAATAAAATCTGTTACTAAAAGACTTGATAAATTTTTGCTTAATAAAGTGTTATGTGTATCAACATTTTTGGATCCACGATATAAATTACTTTATCAACATGCAGATGAAAATGTTATTAAGGAGTGGGTTGAAGAAGCATGGAAAGAAATGCAAGGAGCGCAAGATGTTGTTGACTCTGACTCCGACAATGCTCCAATAGTAAAAGCTCCAGCATCTAATGGATTCATTAGCATTGATGATTGTTTTAAAGATGTAGCTTCTATGAAAACCGGAAGAAAGCAGAGTGAAAGACGTTGCGAGGCAGAAAGAGAATTAGTAGATATTGAAGTTGTTACCACTGACACAATTAAGAAGCAAACAATATTAAAGTCTGCAATTACTCAAGAAATAGACAACTACTTATCTCTGCCTCTTTTAGAAAACAAAAGTTCTCCGTTTTTGTGGTGGAGTAAATGTGGAATGCAATTTGAAAAACTAAAAAAGATGGCATTAAAATATCTTACAGCACCTCCGTCATCAATAGAAAGTGAAAGGTTATTTAGTGCTGGTGGGGACATATACGAAGCAACAAGGAGCAGACTAAAAGCAGATAACGGAGAATACCTAATGTTTGTGCATTACAATCTAAAGTTAATAAAACAATTAAAATAAGATACAGCAAATAAGTGTTGTTTAAGTTCTTTTTATTTGTTTTATTTTATTCACTGTACAGTCGAGAAGGTCTACCTTTTTTTGCAATTCTTTATATTTCTTAATCTTTTGCTTTCCATAATATAACTTTCAATGGCGGAACTTAAAATTTTGCCCCTTTCCCCACAAAATATTATTTAGGCCCGCTCCACCAGGAAAGAAAAATAATTTTAAACTAAATATAGTTGTTAAAAAACTGTTGCACAACTTTTTAAAATAGTTAGGCCCTGCAACTCAGGCCTCTTTCCCTGCATTGCATGGTTTTGCTAAATAGTACGTCGGCCACATAACTTTTTGTTAGTTAGCGTAAAAAGCGTATTTTGTGTGAATAGTTCAGCCCTAGAGATTTCACAAATTTTTATTCCAACTTTTAAAAAATGGACTCGGTGCCGAGTACCCGGACTCGGACCCAGTTTTTTCAGCCGGGTACCCGGAATCGGAGACTCGGCATAAACTGGTTCCGGCACATCTCTATATATATATATATATATATAAAGAAATCGTTACCAAAGTATAGCATATAGGTACACATTAAGTAAGGCCAATCCAACTTGTCTATTTTCTGTTCTTCGTGTTCTTAGCCAGTTTTTAATTGCAGGGTAGGAAAGCTACGTTTAGCACTGGCAACACTTACAGGAAATAACTTGGTAATTTAAAACAACTTGTGAATGATTGAATTTTGCACCTAGTCACACAAATCGAAAACAAAAGAAAGATCAGTAGGCAGTGATGTGGTTCCTCCTCATCCTTTATCCTTATACATTTGCGCTGCCATAATTTAATTTCCGATGTAAATTCAGGCACATTTAAGTTTCGGATACTAAGTAAAAGAATGATATCATAGATATTACCGATTGCAGAAACAGTTTTAACAATATCTTTACGAATCAGTGTAACAATATTTTTTGACATTAAATAATGGATTTGAAGAAAAAATGGTATTTATGTCCACTATAAGTGCAACTTTTTTTTGAAAAGACTGACTGAACCTGAAAAATGTTATAAAAAAATTTAATAATAAAACAAAATTTATTTGCTGGCAAAAAACAAGAAAAAACATAATTTCAATTTTGCCTCTAATTTTTACAGATGGAATATAGATGGAATTTAAAGAAATATTAGATATAGATTTATTATAACAAATTTTATTGATGAAATATAAAGAATGTTTTGCTACCAAATTCTTCGTTTTTTTTTTAATTTAATTTTAACGTAGCACAGAAATTGACACAAATTACTATTAAACATGAACAGCTTTATCTAGATAAAAAGGTTTGCGTCTACCTAGCCAAAAGTCCTATAGGACCTATAGGATTTTAGAACAAAAAAAAAAAAAAAGACAAAACTCTAATAATTATAAACACCTTTAAACTATGTATGTGTTTTAATTTAATGGGGTTCATACCTAAAATTTTTTTTGTTTAAAATTCTTATAGGATAATATAGGACTTTTTGACTATGGTGTTACTCTTTTTTCGCAGTCAAACAAAAAAACACTATTTTTACAAACAATAAAATAAAGTCTTATTTTTACTAACACTGAAAAAAAATAATTTGTTTTTATAACAGCTATTATATGAAATGTTTTAAAAAACATTTTAAACTTTTATATAATTTTCATTTGAGATCCAGATTGACCCACTTTTTAAGATCTTTGATTCACTTTCTTAGCAGCCGTAGCGTGCTTGCCTCAAAAGCTAGAGATCCATGATTTAAGGGCAAGTTTTATTAAAACGGTAAGAAAGGAGGCGTGAACTTCCTTTCAAATGCTTTTCCGCGGTGCTCTGTGATAAGACTGTAAGGACTTCTTGGGACGTCTAAAATAATAAAATAAAATAACTTTTTTTTGTGTTGTAATATTAAATGTCCAAGGGTTTTGAGGGATTTCTAAAATATTATTTTTTTGCTATGTTTTTTCAAAACCTTCTCTTATTTTATTGTATAGAACACTTATAGGTGACGGATTCAGCATTTTTTGGTATTTGAGCTAACTTCCAGACATGGAGAAAACTCCAAACAATTTTATGTTTATATATATGTCAAATAATGATGCTTTGTAAAAAAATGCTATGATTGGAGGTTGGGAACAGATTTCAAAATTTCATCCCCTACCCACCCCGATTGCGAGGGCAACAACTTATTAAAATATTTGTTGTACTATTCTCAACTAGACTTATATTCATCAATAAACTTTAAGTTTCATAGTATTTTCTCTTAGCGTTCAAATATTATGACCATATAAAATTAAAATCCCGCAATTTGAGGAGATTACAGTCTTTCCTGAGAACAGAATATAGTTTTGAGCAATAAACGCAATAAAAAAACTATATATCAAAGAAATAAAGAAATGTTCCATTATCAATTTACAATATTTTTAGTGCATAAAATAAATTTTTAAAAATAATACGTCAAAATTATTTTAATGATCAAACTTGCTCAAAATTAATCATATCGAGTTAAATAAATGTCTTTATGAAAACTTGTACTTTTAAAATCATAGTTGATATCGTTTCTGCTGTCTGTCAAGTAGTCACCTTTTTTTATCCAGTTATCTCCATCAGACTTCCATCCGTTTCTTAAAACTGCAGAGACCTTTATGAAAAAAATAAGATCAAATATCCATAGTTTAAAATTGTCTTTGGCTTAAAAAAAAATTATGCAAACCAACTTATACAAAAAAAAAATTAACATTATCTAATGCTTTTATTTAATTTTTTTGTCAATGACTTGAAATTTTCAAGTAACTTAAATTAAAAAAAAAATTATTTAATTACTTTAAAATATCGTAAAAACAAGTTTTCAGGCCGTGACACAATGGACCGTGGCAAAAAGGGGATCAGCATCAGAGAGTCATTTTGAAAATAAAGGTTTTTTCCATATTTCAAAAAATTAAATCTACAACAAGTAATAATTTAAACTTTTATCAACTTCTATTTTAGCCAATCGACCATTTAAAAAAGCATAATTAAAAAAATTATAAACCAGAGAATTGTTTAGTATAAAGTTAAAATACCGTAGCAATAGTAATACAATATCGTTGTATTGATATTGCATTTTTCAAAGTTTTATATATTGTCCTTCGATAATTCTTTAAATATTGTGATTAAACATCAAAGTTTAAAAAATATTTTTCTGCTTAAATACTAATCAGAAAACGCAATATTTTGACCGAAAAGTATATATTTTTCGATAGATCGATGTCAGTATTTTTAAAATAACAATTTAAGTTGCTATTTTTTTCTTTTGGAATCGTCACGTAATGATTGTTAGCATATGCTCAAATGAGAGGCAACTTCGTCGTTAAAGAAAAGATAATACTTTAAGTTAAAAATTAGGTTCTTAGATCATGCAATATTTTAAACTACAAAGCGCCGTTTAAAAGAAAATCAAATTGTGCTCAAAATGCACTTTAAAGCTTTAGATTTTATCTATAAGAGATAGGCTTTTTAGAATAAATTAGTTTACAGTTTTAAAACATTTTGAAGTTATAATTATAAACGCAACTCTGATGTAAAACATGTAAACAAGTTTATTATAATGTTTAATCTAAAATGTATATATAGTAAATAATAAGTATATAAAATTTGATTTATAATTGTGATGAAAGCGGCTTTTCATCTGTGGTTCATCAAATAGTTTTGTGTAAAGGGTTCTTGTGAGGTACAAAAGTTAACTATTGATGAACGTGGCACACTAACAACATACCTGGCCACTGTCAATGCAGCAGGAGACAAACTACCACCATTTTTCGTATTTAAGGAAACAAAGATTCCAGATGCATCTAAAATTCCTTTGGGTACAAAAGTATATTGCAGTATAAGCGGATATATTGATTAAGAAATCTTTGTTGACTTTTTACATCATTTTAATGAATTTTGTACAAAAGTAGATAGGAAAAAAGTATTGTTATTTTTGGATGAATATTTTTTGAATTAATTGAATTAGCAATAGAGATGGATATTGAAATAATATGCATTCTACCTCAAAGTATACATAGCCTTCAACCACTTGACACACATGTTAATAAAGTAGTTAAACGTGTAGTCTGAGGCTTTGTCTAATAGCTTAGCTGAAAATTATGATATTTCTATGCCTTATTGCAACTTTCACATTATTGAAAGTTATTGATTCACATTTATTTTTAACAAATTATGGTCCAATATACTTGCAAAAAAAGGACTGATTGTTAATGCATTTTACGATTGCGGTTTGCATCCCTAAAGAAATACAGTGAATGACTTCGAATACAAAAAAAAAAAAAAAAAAAGGCGTTTAATAACATTTTTCTATTTTAAGGACTATTGTATCTTCTCCAGAAAAAAAAGCAAACCTACTCACTCAAAACGCCATAATGCTCTCATTACATCACCATATTATATTAAGTTTATAAAGGAGCCTCTTGCTAAAAAGGCTCCAATTAATTATGTAGTCAGTGTTAAACAAAAGTCAAAAAAAGAAAGAAGATAAATCAGTCAAAACAAAAACAAAGAAGATTTATTTTTCAGCTGATTCTGATCACCCAAGTTCATCTAGTGGTTTTATTCTAAAAAATAAAATAACACTGATAAAGGCTTTTGTTGTGTTTGTGCAGCTGTTTGGGGAGAAACAAACGAAGATTGGTTTAAAAGTAGCAATCAGTGGGCATGTAAAGGATGTTTTGGAGTTAATACATATGCAAATTGTGTGCAAAGGACATATAAACGTCTTGTAAATTCTTAAATAGTCATAGTGATATAATTTTTGTCATTGCTTTAATGTGCTATTTTGTGCGTTAGCGCGGTTAGACGTTTTTCATTTATACCAAAATCATTGTTTGATATTTTCTATATAAAAATTAACAATTGACGTCCTTTTAGATGTTTTAGAAATCAGCAAACTGAAATTTAATCTTGTTATCTGAAGGCTACTTCAGTAATTCTATCTGCAGCTATCTGTAGGCTATCAGTAGTTCTATTTACATTGCTTAGAGGTTTACTATTCTAAATTAAGGAAATCATTCTACAATTACCTCAAAAGTAATGCTTTATATCAAAGTTTTTTTTCTCTTAAGTAAGCTATCTTTACCACTAGTAAGGAATTTCATATATCGCCCAAGTAACATATTTTTCAATTAGTTTCGTTGTACTGATGAATTCACCCCATAATTGACAAACTCACTCCTCATGACTTAATGATGAAAAAATCAACGCAAAAGTAACTTTAGAATTTATTTTGATTCAAAATATTAACAAAGTAGAGTCCCTAATTAATAAAAAAAACGCTTTTAAACTAGAAAAGTTTACTTATTTATATGCAAATTCATTTTGTTAACGTAAAACATGACGAACTCGCCCCACCTTACCTTATAAAACTTCAACCAATAACTCGAGACTCTCACTGTGACTGTTTGATCTGTTCAATCAGAAAACTGAGAATCAATGGTCAAATGAAAATTGAATTTGCACACCTTCTTCAACAGTCGAAAAAAGATGCTCTTTTTCTTTTTCAATTATTAGCAGAGGATTGCCTCACAACTACACGAAAGGCACTTTGAGAAGTAATCTTGTTGCTGTTGCTAAAAAAGATCCTTTGGCATCAAAAAGAGTTGCAACTCTTGTTGTATTAAAAAAAGCTCCTTCTCCACATGGAACAGTTCGATTAAGTTAACCTTGTGGTGGAAGGATGCTCTCAGTAACACCAGGTATGAATTTAGTTTTTTATAGTTCAAATTAATGACAGGTTAAACTTTTAACATTTTGCATTCATCATAGGTTCATAATTAGCTAGATAACTTTTTCTTCCAAATCCATCAATAAGTGTGAAAGACCTTGCTCAAGTTCAAGCTAAAACAGGGATTTTAAACAATTTATTTAAATAAATTGGCATCAAGAGGTTAGCAGTTGCTATTAACCAGTAAACCTCACAACAGATTGTTGAAAAAATTATTCCATAAATTTGATGATCTCAGCAAGCAGCTTGCACATCAACTTTTGATGTGCAAGCTGCTTTTATTCAACTTCATCAATTCAAAATGGATGTGTGAGAACTATCATACATTCCAAGGACTTCCATGAGTTTAAAAATGAAATTATATCCATGAGAAGTACAGGGGTGGGACCGCAAAATGTGAACGTTTTTGTTTTATTATAACTATTTTCTCGTTAGATGTAGTTGTACTCTCTCACTCATCAGAAAGTGTCTAAAGAGTTGGTCTAAACGTTGTAAAATGATCTACGAGAATCAAGGAGGTCAAATTGAACATTTAAAATAGTTCATATTTAACAGAAAATTAATTATTACAATCAGAAAAGTGTTCACATTTTGCGGTCCCACCCCTGTAGGTCAAAAAATCACATTGTAAAGATTAGATTTCAAGCACACTCAAGTGCACATCTCTTTCCCTGCTGTGAATCTGGTTCAAAGGAACTTGTTAATCAAGGGAAATTAAGAACTTTAATATCTCTGGAAAAAAATGTCTAGAACAATGTTATTCATTCTCCAATATTCAAACTACCTGGAGATACTTTAGTTTTGAAGTTCTTTTCTCCCATGGAATTGCATCTCCTAATTTGTGTTTATAATTATCTGTTTGCTGCATTACTTCAAGTTTTTCCTTAAGCAACTCCTTGAACTGCAGCACTACACATTAAGCAACAGCCTTTTCAGAGTAGACATTTTGCAGGAAATGAATCCAGAAAGCTGTTACACAGTATTGAAATTCTTTAATCAATTGCTGAGAAACGCTCATGCTATGCAACCATCCCATTCATTGATACTTTTTGAAAATTCAATGCAATAGTGTCTGTCTTTTTTGGATACAACCTTGATCCAAACTACACACAAATAATCCCCACAAAGCATTCAGAGTGTCTTATTGTAATTTCTTATTGTTATCAAGTCCATACAATATTTTTCCATGTGGAAGATTTCATTAACAGACATGGTCAAGCTCTCTGGTTTTACTTAAAACAAGCAACAGCATCAAAATCACAGCATCACAAACAGGCAAGCAATGCATCTCAACTTTCAGATACATTGGAAGAGGTACAAAAGAAGAGGTACAAAATCATCATCCAGATTACAATAATTAGTTAGAGTGTTGACTCATTGACTTCAATAGTAAACATTGCTTGTGAAAAGTCATTTTAAGAAGGGATTTAAGAATGAATTATTTTAGAATTTGTTTCATGTAAAAGAAACAGTTTTTTAGAGAATATATTTCATGTTTGTTACTTGTATAGCTTCAAGAATATATCATTTTATTTTCCTTGTTCATATTAGTTTAAATTGGAGATTTTTACTACTGTTTTACAAAGCAAAATAAGCTGTTGTATGTTTTTCAATCAATAAAATATGAAAATTGAAATGTAAATAACTTGCCAAGGCATTGTAATCTGATTTCGATAGTTATATCTAAGTGATTTCCATAGTGTGGGCTATCATTCCACCAAAGGGTTTCTCCGGGTCAGAAAGTTAAGATTAGAACCTGTTTTATAACACTGTGTATGTATGTATATGTGTGTGTGTATGTATATGTGTGTGTGTGTGTTCTTAATTCCGAGGGTTGATATATATATATATATATATATATATATATATATATATATATATATATATATATATATATATATATATATATATATATATATATATATATATATATATATATATATATATATATATATATATATCAACCCTTGGAATTAGGAAAAATGAGATCGGCAAATTATTGCTGACCTTAATCTTTTTGAAGTTGGCAAAAATTATTTTATACAAAGGTCTGACCATAAAATATAGAAACAAGGTCAGCAATATTTTGCTGACCTCAAACACTTTCAGGTCAGCAGTTAGGTCGGCATTACTGAATGCTGACCCTAATTCCGAGGGTTGCTATATGACCTTGTTAGTTATTGTGCAAAATATTTTGAATTTTGGAAGTCATTTTGTGGTGCTCCAGGGCGTCCCAATTTTATGACTGCCAAATGGCCCAATTTGGTTTTAAAACGGTATAGCTTCCAATGAAGTACTACCAAAAGCAACCATAATTATAATTAAGGGCAGTGAATAAGATAGTCAGATAGTTAGGTAATGCAACATACTGTTATAAATATTCTGTGCTTTCCCTATTATCACTCATTTAAAACAAAAATAAAGTCAATAATATACAATTAACTTAATGTACTTTTCAGCAAAACAAAGAATGTCGGAAGTTATTATGACACCCAGTAGCAAACCAAAGAATCTGACTAATTGCTCAGGTAAGCAGTACGATTATATTACATTATTGCATTATTACATAACCGTACATTACATATTACATTATTGCATTATTACATAACCATAACACTATTATTATTACGTGACAGAACTTAGCAAATCATGCTAATTTGAGAAGAGTTAGGATTAAAGTTAAAGTTAAAGTTGGGGTTAGGGTTTAGGTTTACATGCATCGACCGCTTCTCAGTATTGAGTTCGTGCTGTTTATGTTTTCAGGAAACAGAAAAGTGCAATACTACACCCCGCAGTGCATCGAAGAACATCAAAGTTCGACATATTTGCATCAAAGAACATAAAAGTTCGACATATTTTAAAAAAACAACAATTAAAACAACTATATTATTTGTTTATCCACTGCCATTTAAATTATGCAAATATTGTATGAGTAAGCGCGCACAAAACTAAACTTAAATCTCATTATCAGCATCAAAAACACGCAGCTCACTTAATTAATTTTGTAAATCATTTTTTAAAATTAAATCCACTTCTGAGAGAAACGAAAGCCTTAAATGTATACAAACTAAATGTTTATAATATTTTATGTTTCATATTTAAATGTAAAAATCATTTATTTCCTGATGTATTTATAAACCTTTATAATGTAAAATCCTTAAACAAATACAATCTTTGCAATGGAAAAAATCTACAAAAACCTTTCTGCCAAACTAAATTTGAACAACTAATTATTTCTTATTGCGGTCCTTATTTATGGAGTAAAATAGCTATGCCAAATTTTGGTTTGTCTTAGAAATGAACTTTAACTTTTTAGAAGAAAATATTTTTTCTTGTTTTTAGTTCTTTTCATATATTTCATATAATTTATCCAGTATATTTATATTTTAAATGCACAGTTGTATATTGTTTAAGCTGATTTATTTTTATTGGTCAATTTGATTTTATTGTTACTATTATTATATTTGATATTGTAAAGGGCTTCATGATAAGATTGTACGATCTTCTGGAAGTCCTGCCAATTATTTTTGTAATAAAGCTATTCTGTAACTGTAATTTCTTTTATTGAAGGCAAATAAATTTACAAAAAAAAAAAAAAAAAAAGTTTCAATGTGATCTCTTTTACGCTTTTGAGAAAACAAGAATTATAATTGAGATACTTCTAGACATTTTTTTTCCAATGGTATCCATTACTTCTATTTTCTTATATTTTTTATATTTCTTATATTCCAATGGTATCCATTACTTCTATTTTCTTATATTTTTCACTTAATAAATTCCTTTGATGAATTACTAGCATAATAGATAAAAATCTAAAATGTATTGCAAAAATTTTTTTAATTTGAAAAAAAAAAAATTGACTCACTCAGCAAAAAAAGGCAAAAAATTTAACGTACCAAGAACATAAATACCTTAAGATTACAAATACAAATATCAAAGGTTGAAATTTTGCAAAATGCTAATATATTATTGTACCTTGTGCCTGAACCAAAAATTAAAAAACAATTTAAACGATCAAAAATGGCAGACTTGATAGTATAAAAAACTATTTTTAGCAATAAAACACTCATTTGATATGGTAATTGTAGGTCAAATTTTTTTTTTCTAAATTATATTTTAGGTTCAGGCACTTAAAAACATTAATAAAGAACATATCCTGAAAATTTGAAGCTAACATAATAATTTTTTATATTGAGATATCATTGTTTTCCTACAGCTACCCATAAAAAAAAAAAAAATTGAGAAAAATCAATTTTAAAATTATAAATCATGTACACTACTCAGATAAATCATTAAAAACCACTAACACGATAATCTTTTACAGTTTCTTTATCTAATTTTTGTTCAAAATTTTTTCTAACATCTTAACTTTTTTTCTAACATCTTAACTTTTTTTCTAACATCTTAACTTTTTTCTTTTTTTTTTTTGTTTCATCTGACATTTTTTTGTTCATACTTTTTAACCCTATGGATATTTTTTTAATTGCACCAATTTCAAAGTAACTACCAGGTATAACTTGAAAAATGTTTTCGTGGTCGTACAAGAAAAAAAAACGCACGCCTTTCCTAAGAAGGCTTGTATATATATATATATATATATATATATATATATATATATATATATATATATATATATATATATATATATATATATATATATATATATATATATATATATATATATATATATATTGATAGTTAGATGAATAATAACTTTTATAGCTTAAATAAAATAAAATCATATTATCTAAAAAAATAAAATCAAATAAAAAAAATTTATAAAAAACTAAAACTAATCATAACATGATGATAAAGAAGTTAACTTACAGATATATGAGTGCTAGGTGCGATATTATTTGCAATGCCTGTAACTGAATATGATAACGTTGTTGAAGGATTATAATTCGAAAGATCGATAAAATTTTCTTTTAAAGTTACAGAAGGAACATCCTGTATTGAAGCATCTTCTACTTTAACAAACAACCAAGAACCACTTTTAAGAAAAGCTGGTGACTCACCATTGAAATATACATTACCAGATACATTAAAAGTCCAGCATCTAGTTATAGTTAGAAGCAGTACGTAAAATGACTGCAAACTATTCAATTTTATTTCCATGACTAAAAAATATATATATATATGTATAATATATATATATATATATATATATATATATATATATATATATATATATATATATATATATATATATATATATATATATATATAAAATCCTATAGCTAGACTTATAAATTTAAGTAGCTCCCTAAATCAGTATAATTTAGGGAGTGATCAGTATAATTGGGACAACAGAGTGCACATACATCAACTGATATATTTAGATATAAGCACAACAAATGAACATATATATACATATAACTTTTTATTATTATTTATCTTACCACAACACAGTGAGTGTACAACATCAACTAAGGTTTTACTTAGGGCAGCAGTGTATTATTTTATAGTAGAGCCTTTTTTAAGTTATACCGTGTTTTGCAGATTATAACTGGATATGCCATTGTGCAATTTCATGCTTCGCATATTATCATGATCATGATTATGTTAACTATGATGATGTTTATATATAAATATGCATGCGTATATATATAATAAATTAACTAGATAAACTCAATAAATAAACTAGAGCTATATAGTATTAGTAAGCATAAACATTGATATTTCCTAAAGTATATAGAATTCATGATATATTATATTATATATATATATATATATATATATATATATATATATATATATATATATATATATATATATATATAAAATATGTAAAATTCAATAAAAACAGCTGCGTATAAACTTTTTAAAAAATATATTTTTTTTATTTTAATATATTTTTTCGATATTTCGCTGATCTGTTGTGATCAGCGTCATCAGGTGTAATAAATAAAAATCGTCGTAAATAAATAAAAATTTTGAACCTCATTGGGATCTATTTTCCATTGTCTGGCTTCATTAACAAAGCTATTGGAATTAATAATTGAACGATTTTTATTTATTACACCTGATGACGCTGATCACAATAGATCAGCGAAATATCGAAAAAATATATTAAAATAAAAACAAATATATATTTTTTAAAAAGTTTATACGCAGCCGTTTTTATTGAATTTTACATATTTTATTATTATAGTACAACAAGAAAATGACTTTTAAAGATTATATATATATATATATATATATATATATATATATATATATATATATAGTCTTGCATGGTAGTCACAAAGTTTTTCCCATAAACTGTTGTTTTAAAGAGCGCGTTAATAAGCATGACCAGAAAATGTTTTAAATGTTAGACTGCCTGCCCATACCAAACCCTCAGTCGATGTAGCAGCACTCCCTTGCGAGTCAAACTATTTGTCAGTCGATGTAGCAGCACTCTGTTGCGAGTCAGGCTAAAAGATATTCGATGTAGCAACACTCCCTTGTAGCAGCAGGCTATAAGATAGTCAATGTAGCAACACTTACGCATGTTTTAAAAATGTTTTTTAATAAAACAAAAACAAAAACACCACTAATTAAAAAAAACTAGTCATTATTATTGCAGTTTTTTTAAAAAACAATAAAATTTAATGTACTTCCGCATTAAATTAATTGCTTTGACATTTTGATGACAGTCAAATACAGCTTAAGAGACGAGGTAATAAAAAATTGTAGTCGAAAGAGACTTTTTTTACCATAGAAGTCTCTTTCGACTGCACTATAAGGATATATATATATATATATATATATATATATATATATATATATATATATATATATACATATATATATGCATACATATTTTTATATAAACATCATCATGATCATCATTATCACCACAAACATCATCATTATCATCATCATCACCATCAAGCTTTAACCTAAACCTTTTATGCTGCTTTTCTAATATAAATCTCCAGCATCTTCTTTCCTTAACTAAAGCTCGTTCATGCGCACTCTCCCAAAGTTTTCTTACTTCTACTTCTACCATTTTCTTATGAAGCTGCTACCTCTCTACATGTTGATACCCAAACAACTTTATTTTTTTTCTGACAAATGTTAGATACAACATTTTTTTAAATCTTTGCATAAGATTATTGCTCCTTTTCTTGTTTTGATAGATCACATATCTATCTGATCATCATCTCTGTCAACAAATACTACACCATATATATACTAAAGTTTATTGTATACATAGTATGGATATATATATATATATATATATATATATTTATATATATATATATATATATATATATATATATATCCATACTATGTATGCATAAATGCGCCTCTTACATAATCTTTTGGATCCAAACAGGTATACAAGCTTTTATTCATTCTGGTCAGTTTTAAGTCAAGCCTCTGCTGCTTGTTTTAAACAATTTTTTTTTCAAGAAAAGAGCATCAAATTGAGTCATTAGTAAATAGAGTTATTTTAAATAAAAGATTGTCAGAAAAGCTGTTTTTGTAGATGAGAACTAATATGAAAGAATTTTGCAAAAATGGAACCCTTGAATTTCCACTTAAGTTACTGGTAATGAAGAAGAGAGTAGGCCTTCAAGAATGAATTTAATACTGGGGTTAAAAAGACTGTGGTTAGTTAAATATTACAGTTAAAAAGATAATTATAAAAATAACTTTATTACTACACTTAAAAAGAAATGATTTAATAATCTCTTTTTCATTGTGAAACATTTTTTTTGAATTTGAAAAGTTTAACAATTGCACTGAAATAACTCCAAACGAGAAAGCAAGTAATTATGAGAAAAGACTTTTGTAATTAAAATTTGAATGAATGAGTTTAATACTTTAGTAACTCATTCCTTCAAATTTTAATTACAAAAAATAATACTTTAAACTTTTAAAGTTGTTTTTAAGTTATGTAATTTAAACATAAACAAACAAATTTTTATAACTGTTTTTTAAAAAAAGATTTAAGTTTTAAATAAGTGTGTACCTATTCTTTTTACTTTGATTAAGTTGTATTTTACGATACTAAGTTAAAAACTATAAAATGTTGTGTATTAAATAGTATATTTTATTTTTAAAAAGATTTTTATTAAAAATATATTATTTAAATAGCTTTTTAAAAACAAAACTATTTTAGTTCTTTATTGTTGTTGATTTTTTTTAGAGTTTTTTAAAAATGTTTTGAATGAAATTCTTAAACTGATCATTAAAACTTATCAAGTTTATTTAAAAATAATTATGTCAAAACATTAAAAAAATTTTTTTTACCTTAATGACGCTCACAAAAACATAACAATATATAAACATTTTTTTGCTTTTTTGTCATTTCGTAATTAGGTAATTTCTATTGTATTTCTATGTATATCTTATACTGCTGATTTAGGTGAGCAGTCTGACATCATACTGAAATAGCCTGCTGCAGGGGGCTTCAGTACATAAATCGACTGACATGACTGCTGCTACATCGTCTGAGGGTTTGGTATGGGACAGCAAACTTTTCACACATTATTCTTCAAGTTTTTTTTCAGTATGTGTATAAATGTATATATATATATATATATATATATATATATATATATATATATATATATATATATATATATATATATATATATATATAAACAATTTTAAAAAAAATGTATTCTACAAAATAGAGTGCTCAATGTTCTTAAAAGAACAGAGCAATTATAAATTATATATATATATATATATATATATATATATAAATAATATATATATATATATATATATATATATATATATATATAAAATTTACCTCCCCAAAAAAAGTGGCTGGAAAAACCACTAATAGCTGTCTCAAACCGATTAAAAATGACTACTAATTGATGTCTTTTATTCATCTGAATTTAGACATCTAAAAGTGTTAACATTTTAGATGCCAAAAAAAAAAACGTCCAAAAGATGTGTTTGTGCCGGCTGGGTACAGATGAGGAGGCTACTTATTTGTGGCTATTATTCCCTCTCAACTCTATAAATCTGAAACACAAACTTTGACTAACAAGGCTACTGTCGGAAGAGACAAATTATATATATATATATATATATATATATATATATATATATATATATATATATATATATATATATATATATATATATATATATAGACACACACACACACACACACACACACACATATATCAGTCTCCGTTTGAAATTTAATGCCAACGCATTCATTTATTCTGCTGTAAAATAAACAAAAAAATTTATTATTGCAATGCAAAACAAAAAGCTTTTATTTTTTTGGCAAGCGGTTTTTTATGCGCTCACCAAGGTTTTTGCAAGCGTGTGGGCAAGCTTGAAAAGACTAAACAGAGAAGACTGATATATATATATATATATATATATATATATATATATATATATATATATATATATATATATATATTTATAAATCTTGGTGCGCTTAGCTGTGCAGTAACCTAATATATTTTGCACACTTAAATTTTTATATTGGCAATTTAAAAATAGACATGTCATTTTTAACTTTTTACATCATAAGTGACAGCATAATTTAATGCCATTATTAAATATATTTTTTAAACTTCACTAACCTACTAAAGATAAAAATTTAGTTTCAAACATGACAAAACAAATTATCTATTAAAAATAATTTTATTTTATACAATTTTATTCAAAGAAATCCATATTTCATGAAGATTGAATTATTGGTTTTTTATGCCTATGAAAATCATCCAATTAAAGTTAAAAGCTATAACAAACTATGAAACAATCGAACTAAATTCTAATATTCTTTGATAATGTGTTTCAGAAAAAGCAATATGTGGCCTTTTTTCTCTAACAAATTGAATAGCATCATCTGAAGACATTTTATATTGTTTTATTAAATAACAAACTACTACTGTAGCACTACGACTTCTGCCTGCTTTGCAATGAACATAAACTGATGAACTGCTTTTGTTTATAAAGTCTAAAGCACTTTCAATCTTGCTAATTGAAGGAGCATCACTATATTCAACAGTAGGAATATGAAGTTGCTGAACACCTAACAAATTCCATTCAGTCTTTTTAGGACAAAAATACCTTAACTCATATGGCTCATTTAATGTAATAACAGCGGAAATATTTTCAATGGAAACAAGAGCTTTAGCTGTTTTATAAAATGGTAATGCACCAAGTATAACTTTATTGTCTATTCTATCATACCATCTTCTATTAGGTGATGTTCTTAAACACCCATACACTAATGTTGGATAAAATGCCAATCTTGCAATTATTGCTTGTGACCATAATGGTAAATGGAATTTAAAAACCATGATTAAACAGGATTAGCTAAACACACACACATATATATATTTTTATTTATAGATATATTTTTATATATAGATATATATTTATATACAGATATATATTTATATATAAATATATATTATATTAAAATTGGCCATTAAAATAACATTTTTTTATGCCTGCTCTCACCCTTAAAACGTGTTCTATATAATAAAATAATACTGAAATAAAAAAAATGTTTGAAAAAAAATTTTTAGAAGTAGCTTGAGACCCTTAAACATCAGATGGGTCCCTATAATTATAAAAAAACAAGTTGGGTCTTAAAAGAAGCAAAATTTTTGGATGTTAAAAAAAGCAAAATTTTATAAAAAATTATGTTGGGTCTCAAAAGAAGCAAAATTTTATAAAAAATTATGTTGGGTCTCAAAAGAAGCAAAATTTTATAAAAAATTATGTTGGGTCTCAAAAAAAGCAAAATTTTATAAAAAATCTTAAAATCATACAAAAAAAAATTTTTAACAACATTAAAATCATCATTTAAAAAAAAAAATGTTATGCTAGATTTTACTGCCTAGAAAATGTAATTTATAAAATAAAAATGAAAATGTGCATTTTTAGAAAAAAAATTTTATTATAATTTTTTTTCAATGTTTTTTATAAAATAATAATTATATTTGAAATTTTATTATATAATTACTTAATTATATAAAACACATTTAGAGGGTGGGAGCAGACATTTTTAATAAAAGTTGTTTATTCAGACATCATTATATATATATATATATATATATATATATATATATATATATATATATATATATATATATATATATAAATTTTAATTCACCTCCTCAAGGCCGAGAAGGCCACTACAGACAAGGAGGCTACTTATTTGTGGTTACAACCCTCTCTCAACTCTATAACTTCGAAACACGAACCTTGATGAGCAAGGCCGCTGCGCGGAGAAACGAGTTGAGCGCGGTACTACCAGGGACGTGGTGGGGATCGAACTTGGAACCACTCGTTTATGATGCGAGCGCTCTACCACTACATCACTACCACATATATATATATATATATATATATATATATATATATATATATATATATATATATATATATATATATATATATGTATATATGTATATATGTATATATATATATATATATATATATATATATATATATATATATATATATATATATATATATATATATATAAACATCTTCGCTTTCAACAAGGCTGCAAGCAACCAATAATTAGTGTTGGAAGTTACTGGAAGAGAAAAGATGAAGATTGTAGAGCAAGATAACGATTGACAGACAATATATATATATATATATATATATATATATATATATATATATATATATATATATATATATATATATATATATATATATATATATATATATATACATATATATATATATATATATATATATATATATATATATATATATATATATATATATATATATATATATATATATATATATATATATATATATATATTTAAACAATTTAAAATGTATTCTACAAAAAGAGTGCTCAATGTTCTTAAAAGAACAGAGCAATACAAATTAGTAGAAAATCACTTTGCAAAATTTTTTCTCATTTAACACTGTGTTTCATCAATAAAGACTCATCAGAAATGCTTATATATATATATATATATATATATATATATATATATATATATATATATATATATATATATATATATATATATATATATATATATATATATATATATATATATATATATATATAAATCCTAAAAGTAGTATAAGACCAAAATTAGAAGAAAATGATTAACATTGAAATAATTGACCAAAATTAGAAGAAAATAAATAACATCGAAAAAATAGAATAATGTTGAAAATTTAAAAAATGATTATGATTCAATTTTTTTTTAATTGATAGACTGCCTACTCAAACCAAACTTTTAGTGGATGTAGCAGTACTCCTTGCGTGTTCTACCTATTTGTCAGTCGATGTAGCAACACTTCTCGCATGTTCTGCCTCTTTGCAAGTTTTACGATACTATTCCTAAATCCAAATTTCAATATTATTCCGATTAGGCATATTGACATTACTTCGTATAGGGATTTTTGACATTATTCAAACCTATATATATAGGCTTGGCCAGGAAGGCATGAATTTCAAGCCTTTAAATTACAACACAAATAATATTTTCTTTTGACGATTTAATCACGGTTTTTAACAAATGTGCTGAAAAAAATGGTTTTTAATTACATTGAAAATGAATTACTTCAACACGTTTATCTTTATTAAACGTTTTATATTAGCAAAATGCTTTTAAATAAAGTACCTAATGATTTTAATTAAAGTATAATTTTTATTTATATTATCTAATTATATAAGCTTTTTCTATAATTAAAATAAAAAAAATTTAAATTTTAAAAAAAAATGTGTATTTTATAAGCAACAACTTTAAACAGCAATGGTCTTTTATTAAACCTTATATAAAAACCATTAAAGTTAATTCACTTGAAAAGTAGAAAGATTTTGCAAAGAAGTAAAAAACATTTTGAAAGCCATTTGAATTAAATAACTTTGATCTTGGCTTATGCTTTTATATTATTGAAACACATTTAAATAAAGTAACAAATCATTGCTAATGATTTTTTATAAAAATACTAATGAACAATATATATATTTTTCTATATTCATATAAGTATGTATTTTTTATTATAAATGTTTTTAAATAAAAAAAAAAACTACAACAACTTTTTAAACAAACAAATAATTTTTAAACAAACAAATAATAATTTTTTCTTCTTACATTACTGCAAACAATTGTTATGAATCTTTTTTTTAACTTTTAAATGTGCGCATTTATTAAACAATGGTTTGATGTAAGTTGTTACTTGATTTAAAAAGGGTTTCGCATAATATTATATTATAAAAACATTAGTAAAGATAAACGATTCAAAGTTATTTATTCCAAATATAATTCAAATATTCTTATCATTATAGTTTATTATTTATTTTAGTTAAGTTTTAATTTAATTTTTTTGATTTTAGTTTTAGTTAAGTTATTTATATTTTATTTTTTGTTACCTTTTTTACAAAGATTTATTTTTTACGATAAGTTTTTTTTTAAGTTTCTTCATAGTTAAGTTAAGATAAATTTTTCAGCGCATTTTAAAAATGTATACAAATTTTATAAACATATATAAGCGCTTTCAAGTTTTTAAAATTAAATAATATTTGCGTTGACATATTATGAGGTGAAATAACACACCTTCCTGGCCAAGCCTATATATATATATATATATATACATATATATATATATATATATATATATATATATTTATATATCTTTATTGGGAAAATTACCGGTACCCTAATATTTTGGAGAAAAAAAGTTTTTCAAAAGTAGGTCAACCTGGTTTTCAAAAGAAGCGAAATTTTATAAAAAATTCGAAAATAATAATCGTTTTATAAAAATCATATTGCCGAAAAAAATTGTTATTAAAAAACATGTAAAAATGCACCTTTTTCACTTTTAGTTAAAAAACTATAGTTATTATGCATTAAAATCTAAAATAATAATTTTTATATGAAAAAATTATTATTTTTATTATGTTAATTTTTCAGTTAATAAAGCTTTAAAAAAAATTTTCTTTTATTTATCAATTAACAAGACATAACCAGATAAAAAAAGATTTTTGCTTAGACACGTCCATTTTTTTAAGTACATACATTAAGAGAAAAGCTTTTAAAAAAAAGCTACTCATAAGTTTAGCTCGCTAGCTCTTCTTGAAGCTTTTAAGGAGATTTTTTATAAATTTATTGCAGTAAAAGTTGCATCATAATAAAATTAAACTCTTCTTTCTTATGAAATATTGCAAAAATATATTTAAAGTAATATTTAGTATTTTAAAAGTTTGTTTTAAATTAATTCATCTTTTTGGTTAATTTTAGATTATAATAATAATATTAATTTGAAATTTCCCATGGGAAGAAAAACTATAAGTCAAGAAATCAAGCAGCATATTATTGGCCTTGATATGGGAGGTCACTCTAACATTGAAACATCTCGAATTTTAATGTGTGTTTCCCTATCATGTGTAAGTAGAACTATTTCTAAGTTTAATGAAACTGGTAAGACTGCTGACAAAAAGTGTTGTGGGCAACCAAGAAAGACAAATAACACTGATGATAATTCTATTTATAGAATTACCAGAAAAAATCTGAAATACTCAGCGAAACAGATTGCACAAGAAATAAACCTGGCACTCAAAAATCAAGTATCAAGGCAAACAGTTAATAGAAGACTAATAGACCGTAAGCTGTGGTTGCAAGAAAACCATTATTAAAACCAACAGACCAATTAAAAATGAATTAAATTTTGAAAAGCGATTTTAAAAATGAGTAATTATGAATTAAGAAAAATTGTTTTTAGTGATGAATCTAACTACACTATCCTAAATCATAAACACAAAATACTTGTCTGTAGGCACCACAATGAAAAATATAAAAGTCACTGTATTGTACCTATACTACAAGGTAGAGGTGGTGCAGTTGGTATTTGGGGCTGCATCACATATGATGGCCCAGGTCTACACACATTATACAGTGGTCGAAAGGACCAACATAGATACATCGACATTTAATGCTTACAAAGGACATTTTTTTTGGTAACGAGCCAGAGTGGATGTTTCAACAAGACAATGTTCCATGCCATAAAACAAAATCTGTGACAGAATGGTTTGAGCAAAACAATATCAAGGTACTTAGGTGGCCAGCTAGATCACCTGATCTGAATCCAATTGAAAATGTTTGGAGAGTTTTTTTTTTTCCAGGCAAATTGGTTTATATTAGACCCTCTCTCAATGTCACTGAAATCAAGCACTTTTGACAAAAAAAATTGACATTTTTTTCACAAAAACGAGCCTTGAGGCAGGATCTAGAGTGGTCAGAAAATGCCCGGTATGCTTTAAAATCTAATTATTTAAAATCTATATATTTTTGCAATGAATTAAACAAGATACGTATTTTTGTTTTGAAAATTCTCTCATTCTGAATCACCCTAATATA